TGTGTAGTTCTCAATGGTTAATAGTGTAAAATATATACAATAGTTTACATAAAAAGATATGGGTTCAGTGGTAAAGTTTCTACTCGGTGTTTTTATAAATTGAAAAAAATTTTGACTTTTATTTGTTTAAATAAAAGCGATTGACTGAAGAAACATCTTTATTTCTAAAAAAATTACTTAACAATATATTTTTTTCTCGATAAATTGATTTTTTGAAATGTCTAACAATTCAGGGCCGGATTTACAGCAAGACGATACAAATGCGAGGGCATTTGAAATTAGGAATTGAGTTTTCGCATTCGCATAAAAAACAGACCTTTATTAGAAGTCTTCAACATTCAGCTGTCTTTGGGTGGGCCTCCATCCAAAAATATATTCAGGCAGTTTTGCTCCCACATACCAGGGAGATTTTTATTATTTTGGTTTTGAAACAAAAACAAAAAAAAAAAACAATAAAACGACGTTAATTTTGAAATCATTGGAATCATGGTACAATGAAGAGAAGGTAGGCCAACTTTGAAAAAATTGCAAGTATAGAGGTCTACCTGTTTGGCTTGTAATGTCAGAATTAGTATAAAAACAATAACAAATCAAACAACTTGTTGCATTTATTATGAAAGTTCAAAATTTCTTTTCAAAATCATGTTCTATATATCTCTTATGGTTTATTTCGCGACAAAAACTGTAGACTTTGTCGATGCATACGTTGCAATAAGCATTTTGAAAACACTCGAATTTGAATATTTTCTGAACAATTTTTTATTATTGAAAAGAATACGCACACATAAACAAATGAAGTTGACATATTAGGCCAGAAAAATAAAAAAATTGAAATCATATGGTAGTTCTGCCCTACCTTGAATTCATTGTACCATGATTGGAATATCCTTTTAATATTAAACATCCAATGAATAATAAAGAAGTCTGTGCAAAACTTCAACGCTATGTTCTTAAAAGTGCGAAAAGTTCTGCCAAAATGTTTCAAATTTAGATGCAACATACTGTGGGACATGCATATAAAGTGGGTCTATACTCACTGATAGGACTTAAAATCAAGCGGTGACAAATTTTGGTAAAAGTCTACAAAAAATACAGAAAATCTATAGATTCCGTTTATCTAGGGGTTTTATACCAAACTTTTCAAGTATTGTTGTCTTTAAAAGCTAGAAATATATGTTGAGATTTTCAAACCGAATGACAATTTATGTGAAAATAAAATAAATGTGGGGGAAAACACCATTTCTAAGTGTGTCTTTAAACCATTCATTATTATTTAAATATTTCATACACCAATATTATTTAAAACTATTATATTTCCCTTGTATGTTCACAAAAACAATCTCACTCTGCCATCTATTGTATAACAAACAAACTGCTCTGTCACGTGTCTGTGCTGCATGAACAAATGAGCTGTGTCTTGGCTTACTATTCCATCTGAGATACGCACCTTTAGTGGGGTGCACAAAAAACAACCACTTACCAACACTGGCAAAGACATGAATTTAGCGCCATCTATTGATTGGGTAGATCGATTTTTGACAATTTTTTTTCAAATCGCAAAAAATGATAGGTCTTTAAATGTGATTCGAATATTTCGAATATTTCAAATAAAAACTGTCAAATAAAGATCAGAAATTTGACGATAGGCGTTTCTCCGTATAAAATTACCAAGAAATACATCCTCGGTCCAATAAAGCCATAAGCAAATGCAATAAATATTACGATTGAAACAGGGACCAAAACATCGCATTGCATGTCAATTATATTTTTTTATACCCTCCACCTTGAAAAGCAGGGTAAATTAACTTTGTTATTCCGCTTGTAACATCCCTAAATATTCGTCGTAGACCCCATAAAGTATATGTATTCATAATCAGCATTAAATTCTAAGTAGATTTAACGATGTCCGTCTGTGTGTCTGTCTATCTGTCGGTTGAAATCACGATACAACCCACATTATTTGACGTAGAGCTTCAAAATTTGGTGGAACAATTTGTATTGTGTCTAGGATTGTTAATATTGAAAAAGAAATGTATCGGTTTATGTATAGCACCCATATAACGGTACCTCCCGATATTCGGTATTTTGATGATTTTTGCAACATTTTTCCACGGATTTGTTTAAAAATTGCTATTTGTAGTTCGTAATGGTTTCTAGCTCCGTTGGTGGAACATAGTATAGCTCCCCATATAACGGTACCTCTCGATATTCGGTATTTTGATGATTTTTACAATAATTTTCAACGGATTTGTATAAAAATTGGGTCATAATGGGTTCTTAATATAGTATGGCTTAATATAGTATGTATAGGTCTATGTTTTCGTATAGCCCCCTCATAATATAACCTCCGGATATTCAGTATTTAGATGATTTTTGTAACATTTTTCCACGGATTTGTCTCAAAAATGGTATTCGTAGTTCGTAATGGGGTTCTAGTTCCTGTGGCGGAATATGGTATGTATAGGTCCAAATTTTCGTATATATGGGGACTTATAACAGTATCTCCCAATATTCGGTATTTTGATGATGTTATCCTCAATTTTCTACGGATTAGTTTTAAAAATTAGTATTTGTAGTTCATAATGGGTTCTAGCCCGGTGCTTATTTTCATATAGCGCATATATAACGATACCAACCGATATTCGGGATTTTGATAATCCTAGTCACTTTTACCTACGAAATGGTTTCAAATTTGGTATTTAAGAAGGTTTGGTAGATGGGAATCCTTGAAGTATACAATGTCTATAGAGGTTTCAGTTTTGATATGGCCCCCATACAGCGGCCTCACCCATTCTACATTTTTTTGTAAAGTTTAACAGCAATATCCACACGGTCTTACTGGTATTTGTGGTTTAAAGTGAAACACGTTTGAATTCAGATAATTTTATATAGACATATTTTCTTTAACCAAAGGTGGAGGGTATTAATAGTTCGGCCCCGCTGAACTTAATGTTTTTTTATTTGTTATTTGTTTTTTTTTAATCGAGTATATCTTCAGTTCTTTTGCACGTAGTGCCGTTCTATTGAAACGAAATGTTGCCCAAGTCCTTTTCATAATAAATAATAATAAAAACCTTACCAATATGGATCGATAACGTAACGGCCACTCCTTGCTCAGATTTCAAAATTATGATAAGTTTTTTCAAACGTATTTAACGAAAACGCTCCCTTTAATATTAAACGCTTTGTGCCAAATTTCTTCTCAAAGAATTCCCTTGAAGCCTATTTGAGTATATATGGATGCAATAGTTGTATGTTTAAATATTTTTTTTTTTTGTTATATATAATATCAACATGTTGATCAATATGCAATATGAATAATTATTATTATTTTGTTTTGTGTAAATTTGGTTTGGTTTTAGTATATTTTAATTATTACTATAACAATATCATTATTTGCTGTGGGTAGTTTGCCATGTGTCTGTCTGTCTATCGGTTACTAGATAAAGTCTATCTAAATATATATGTTTTATTTTCTTCTCTCTACCAAATTTAAAACAATTAGCAAAAAAAAAAATAATATATAAAGAAAAAATAAAACAAAATTTATATATGTATATGTTACTGTGTATATTTCTGTTGGTATATTCTTTTTTTGAAAATACATATGTTGGTATCATTTGTTTTTTTTTTATTATAATATGTATATGTATGTATATGTATATAAGGGTAACATTTTCTTATGCTGTAATTTCATTTAAAACAGTTTAACTATTTTTTTATTATTTTGGTAGTTACTATTTTAATGTTATTTTTTAAATCCCGACTTTTCTTGGGGGTTTGTTTGGGATTTACTTAATAATTACAGTATGAACTTGATTGCTTCAAAAGGTTTCTTAGTTTTTTTTCCGGGTATACCAATAAGAGAGCAATTTTATTTTAAAAAAATCTAAAAATGCATTATTTTCAAAAATTCAAAAAAACTTGATATTTAAAAATAAATTTGAAGTTCATAGTATTTTATTTTGAAATGAAAGAAAAATGCTAAACCAGGGTGTTTTTTAACAATGGAAGAAGAATAGCTACAATCAAATGTAGGGTCTGGAAATATTACAACTTTACTCGGCCAAGGACTGCCTTCTTAGCTCACTCCGTAAACACAACAATTGAGCAAATATAATGCTGGAAGCTAAAATAGGCTTGGACTAAATAAGGCAATATTGGTTAGATCAAATAAACTCTTTCCACACATTTAAACAGATTTAAATTTGATGGGATACATTTTTTTTCAAAATTGTTTTATAATTTGAGGCCGCCTAAAATGTGGAGGAAGTATGTATGAGTGATAGGTTCTGTAATAATAGTCAATAGCTAATGCAACAATATTATCTTGTATTCAATATTAATGCATAACATCAAATTTTAGCTCCTCTTTCCCTTGAAAAATAGGCTAGGAGCCTCAAGGGCTACGTTAAAACCTGAAAAAAATTAGTATGTTTTTTTTAAAGAATTCAAAATAAAAATCGATTTTAATATCGAATTCAGTGGAGAAAAAATTGTAAAGAATTTAAATTAAAAAAACATTTAATTTCAACAAAAAATTAACAATTAAAAAGCTGTTTCATTTACATTTTCAAAAAAAAGTGGATACATAGATATTTTCGATACCATCCATTTTTCATCGAATTTCAGTATAATCCTTTAAACAATTATTTATGAACTCTTATTGAAAAACAAACAAAAACAAAAAAAAAAAAAAAATAAAATAAAAATTTGGAAAGGCACGGATTTTAAAGAAATTTAGAAAAATGAGAATTAAAATATTAAGAATATTTTTAATTTCCACTAAAAAATTAAAAAATTCTTAAATTTTCACTTTTTAATGGAAAAAATTTGTTTTAATTGAAAACAAACATTTTCCAAATATAAAAAAATGTAAAAATATTTTTATTCAAAAACAATAATTTCTAACAAATATTTTCAATCGATGAAAATTACCATATGTAACAATCTTGTTTTAAAATAAAAATATTGTTAATATTGGTTCTCATTAAAAAAAGAAAATTTCAATTTAAGAGCAATGAATTCTTACAATATTTCCAAACAACACTAACTTACTTAGTTAACATTTTTATTCCAAAGTAAAAATATTACGTTGGAATAACTTTTTTGATACCTTTTTTAAAATCAAGTCCATACTGTACTCCATTTGAAATGCTACAGTGAAAGTTAAATATTTATAACTTTTTATATTTATTTGTTAATGTCTTGTCTATTATTATTTTTTTCACAAAAATAAATTTTTTGGAAATCGATTAATAACTCATTTTTTTAACATTTACAAAAAATTGCTTAGTGTTTTCAATGTGTTAACATTTATTGGTTTTTCTATTTCTCTTCAATACTTTTATGGGACTCAATTAAAACATTGTTTTTATTTTCAATTTTTAGGTTTTTATTTTTTTTTTCAAAATTCTTGTTTAGTAACAATTAATATTAAAAAAGGAAACTTAAAGAAAAAAAAACTTTTGTAAAAATATATATTAAAAAAAATAATATAGTACTAAAAAAAAAAGAATACTTAATACTATAACGTCTTCTGGGTTTGTTTGCTGCTTTGTTTGTTTGTAGGGTTTTTCTTTTTTTCTATAACTACATAATTAAAATTTAACATTAAAATAATAAATTAGTTTGTTTTACGACTATTACTTAAAAACGAATAAAAAAAACGTAATAAATATACAACTATACAGCTTAAATACAATACAATTCAAAATAAACATTGTTAAATTTTTTTTATCATTTTTACAAAGGTGTTTTAATATGACTGTTGTTTTTTTCTTTAAACAAAATGTAAATTTAAAAACAGTGTAAATATATATATTTTTAAAAATATATATTTTAAACAACAGTTATAATTGACTTCAAATAATTTTATGGGATTTATACAAAAAATAAAATTAAAAAGTGGGTTGTGGGAAATCAAATTCAACCAACTATTTTCATATTTCCAACCCATTTCGTTTTCCATTTCATTGTTCTATCATAGCAAATAAAAATTAAAACTTAACAATTTCGAGTGTTATTTTTTCATAAAATATTTTGTTCGAAAAATATTAAACTTAAAAGAAAATATATTCTTCTTTTTAAATTTATAGTCTTGAGATTCAGGGATTTTAAGGTTATTGTTTTTTTTTATTCCTCTCCTTATACTTTTGCGAATTTTCCACTCTTTCTTTTAAGAACTCACGCCACCATTGTCTGCATGTTCGAGAACTGTATACGATTCATTGATATCACTGGTGCCGCTCAGCTGTAAATCACCGGTGGAATGTGCCGCTGGGGGATGAGATTTGTGGGTGGGCGATTGATTTGGTGTGGAGGCGGTACTTTTGGGTTTGCGAAACCAATTGCCAAGACGCCGCCTACCCAGCGATCCCGTCTGTGTTTCATTATTTGCAGTCGACTCCAAACGATGTGAAGACTTTTTGGGTAAGGTATCACTGTATTTAAAAGATTTGGCTGGTGATTCGGGTACTGAACTTTCGCCCGATGTATTGGTGTTGTTGCCATTATTCAAGTTAGCCTCATAAAGAAACTCTTTGAGTTTTTGTTGTTCATTTTCGGCTCCCTCATAGTCTGATTGATCATCGGAACAATCTCTTTCCTCAAAGGCATAATCGAAATTCATCATTTCCGAAATGTACAAAGACTTGCCACTGAATTGTCTTTCCAAGGCCAGGGTATTTAAAAATCTATGTTTACGATTGGCCGAACGGAAGCTGAAATCAAACCATTTCCCCCTGGATTCACAATAAATGCGCAACGAATTTTTAATGGTGTGACCGAACATTTTACCATCCCTTACATTGACCACACGACAACGATCGAGGAAAATACGTCCCTTGTAAATGAAATTGGAACGTTTAATAATATCCCTTTTACAGTAGACTAGCTGATTGTCGAACAGAAACAATGTACAGCTACTGTTCCAGAGATTTTGTTTTTGGCGTGTTGCATCGATTTGTACAAAGAATCGGGTGCTGTGCAAATGCAAGGGTGGACCTTTGAAATTTTGAAAACTCGCCTGATGACGGGCAATGGTTTCACTGTGGCGTTTGCCTTCGTTCACAGCTTCGGTTATGGATTTCATTGCCTCCAGGGCCATATCGATGGTTTCTGTCGTATCTGGGATATCCAATTGGCTAACATCGATTTGTTCGAATTCCTGTAGGCTAAATGGTGTGGGTTCTGAGCCTTTGGCCGATGTTTTCATAATTTCAGCCAAATGCAGGGGGTAGCGGCAGATACGTTGCACCGGGGCCAACAAGTGGGCGGATAAGGGTAATTCGGCCAGATTTTCTGATTCGCGACAACTAAAAAAACGAAAAAAGAAATATATTTCAACAATTTGTTCAATTTGCAGTTGCTTTCTTTTGACTTACTTATCTAATATGGTGCGAGCATCCTTAACCCTTTCATACGATTCCAATTCAATCAAGGCCCTGGGATATGAGTTGCAATATGTTGAATAACATAAAAATCCTTTGTGCTGTAATTAAAAAAAGATGATTTGTTAGGTTTTTGTTATAAAATATTGGAGAAAATTTTAAAACTTACCATTTTCAAAAATATCTTGCCAACTTGATTTTGTTCAATGCCCTTGCGCAAGGCCTCCAAAAATCGCCTTTGAAACTTATATATAGCTGTTATGTTGGAGAAAATCAAGCGTATGCTGTTTGGTGAGAAGATATCAATGCGTTTGCTCATGGCGGGCAGATAACTGCAAATAAAAAATTAGAAGATAAGAAAAAAATAAATAAATACGAAATTATTATTTTTTTAACTGGGCATAGTTTTTTTTTACCCTACACCATATGAAACTTATGTAACTTATGACCTATCCAAATTGGTTATAAGTAAAAATCCCTAAATGAGGATCCGAAATATCAAATTACATTTTTCAAAGAATTGTAAAACCTTTTTTGACTTCACGTAAATTGACCTTTCCAACCCACTTAAAATAAACATGTTCATACATATTAGATATTTCCCTATAAGGAATGCTGCTGATATCAAAGGTATCCTAAAAGTATGCAACAAAATTTAAATACTCTAAAAACATAAGATTATAGCTCAACTTAAATATGAAAATTTCGCCAATTGGTAAAAATTAACAAAAATTACGAAATGTTGATTCATAGTATGCAGAATTTGCTCTCAATAGCAGGCAACAATTTTTTGGTTTTGAAAAATTTGCAAAATCTAAGTTTTGAATTCAGATTAATTGATCCTTGTCATCCACCACAAAGTAAACATCAACATATATTAGATATTTTTCCTTCGAGGAAGTAGAATCAAGTTAAAGAGCAAATATCATAGATATCCTAGAAGTATGTAACGAAATTTAAATTTTATAAAAAAATACAAAATAAAAACTACCCTTCAAAATTGTAAATTTTCGTGTTAAAAAAAGACTCAATAAATTTGAATTGAATTGCTATTGATAAAAATAAATTAGAATTACGCAAAGCTGATGCAAAGCACGTAGTATATGATCCCAAAAGTATGCTACAGTTTTTGTGTAAAATCGAAAAAGACAACTTTTTAGACGTTAGAACCACTCCAGCCACCAAAAAACAGACTTTCGAATGAATCTAAGCCTTTTCTAGAGACTGTGATAACTGTTTAACCCTACCTATAACTTAACGAACCAAAAATTTCAGAACTAACAATTTTATAGGTGCCCAGAGACGTACGGTAAGTTTTGAAATTGTTGGAATCTGCTCGAGATGTTGGTGAGTATTTAAAACAATGTGTATTGCAATGATAGAAAAATAAATTCAATGGAGGAATTAATCCTGAATCTTTTAAAAAGTTTTAATTTTAAGTAGGCCTATTCTTAATATTATTTAAAAAGTCTTAGGTCTTCAAAATGTGTCCACAAACACAGCCTACTTTGGAAACTTTGTTGTCTATTTGAATAATACAAAAAATATCGAATTCTAAACAGCAAATACTGGAAATTTTCAGGTAAATATTTAAGGAGAAGGTGTTAAGAAGGTGTGCCAATCATTTTCATTTCTCCCATACAGATGTCTTTTCAAAAGCCCACCCTTAAGCAAAACAGTATTTCAACTTACCCCTCGCAGATAGCTTGCAACAGCTTAACATAATTAACTTCGGTATCCAATAATTCCTTGACAGCACTACGGCGTAATATTTCAGTACTACCCATTATGACATTAAGGCTTTGTGAGGTTGATAACACCGTTTGGCCATTGGCTGTTAGGGTGGTAGTTGTGGTTGATGATGCATCACGTTGCTGCTGCTGCTGCTGTTCATCCTGATCCATTGTCCTTTCGCTGCTTTGCTGCTCCAACAACAATGCTGTGGATGGCGGCGATGATGTTTCAATAACAATGGTTGTGACATTGTGCTTATCGATAATTGTGGTATTACAATTATCCTCTGAACTGGTATTAACGGGTGTACACGGAGCACTCGATGATGTATTCAACAACATTTGATTATCAACGCCCACAGCAGGTACTACCGAGGATGATGTGGTGGTGGTAGTCTGCTGCACTATGGTGGACGATGAAAGTTCATTAATTTGCATGTGGTTAATGTGCTGGTCCTTGTGCCGTTGCTCCTCGTCGGCTAGATGACGCAAAAAGAATGCATCTGTTTCCGGTGAGTGTATAACGCGTACAAACTCTTTGGGAAACCAGCCCAATTCCGGATCGAGAATTTCCTCCACTAAACTGGCATCCTCTTTTTTAATGCGTCCAAACCACCAGGGGCCGATTTCTTTGCGCAAAATCTCAATTAGGGTACCCTTTTCCAAGCCCAACTCTTGCGGTCCGGCAGCGGTGAAATTGTACAGAACTTCAGCGTAGATGGGATAGTAGCAGGAGGGGGCTAAAGTGGGAAAGAGAGAAAAATGTGATTATTTTTTGAACTTTAACCTTTAACGGGGTTTTTGCTTACCTTCTTCGTGTGAGGTAACACTATCACTGTCGCTGTCATCTAAATCATTACGTGTCATGCCACATGACTCTAGGCCATTGGGTTGACTCAAAGACCTGGTGGGCAACGATTCGGGTGCCTCCCGTTCACCATTAATGTCCATTCGTTTGAGCATTTTGGCTTTGTTCAGAACCTCGGAGACACTTTGATCGGTCATTGAAGTTACTTTGGCGGAATTTGTGCGGCGTACTTGTCGAAATCGGAGGGAATTCTAAAACGAAAAGGAAGCAATTTATATTAATTTTTAATGTATTTAAATTATAATTATAATAATTATGATAATTCAAATGTTACAGATTTCTAACAAATGTTTAGTTAAAAAAAAAATATTATTAAAAAAAATCTGGAAACATTTCTAAATTATCTAGAACATCAAACCACAACAAAAATTTGAGAGGTATTTCTTTATTCATTATTTTTTGGATTAGAAATTTTTTTCCTCTCTCTCTACCACTTCGCCTAAAATTAGGCAACATTTTAAAATTCTATTTAAGAGAGAGAAAATCACTTGAATTTAAAAATAATCGTTGGTCTCTCTATTCCCTAACCAGTACCTAAAAGTATGCAACAATGTTTTTAATTTTTTTAAAGTTTGGAAAAAATGTTGTAAGACAAAGGTGCTTTTGAATTGTTAATAAAGAGTACCCACTGCCACCAACTAGAAATACAAAAAGTACAAAAATTATCTGAATCCTATATTTTTCTATCGTTAAACCTCCTTCTGACATAAACACCAATAAGTATGCAACGGTTATTTTTTAAAATTGTATTTCTAAAAAAAATCGCTTAAATAGCAAAACACCTTTCTATCCCTTACTAGTGCCTAAAATTATGCAGCAATTTTTGAAGTTTTTTTTTAGATTTTTAGCAAAATATTTAAAAATTTGATAAAAACCCACTTTGTTCTCTAAAACAAATACAAAATTTACATAAAATTCTTTTACACTTCCCTCGCAAGTGCCTATAAGTATGAAAGGATTTTCAATTAATTTTTTTGGGTTTCTGTTTAAAATAAAATTCTCAACGTGCCATAATCCTCTACTGGAAATACTAATTACAGTGATATATGAGCAACCGTAAGTCTTCTATTTTTGGAGTAAGGTACAGAAAATTTTGTGAAAGAATATCGGGGAAGCCCTCTTATAGATTTCAAAGTTTTAGCAAAATATTTAAATAGTTGATAAAAATCCACTTTGTTCTCTAAAACAAATACAAAATTTACATAAAATTCTTTTACACTTCCCTCGCAAGTGCCTATAAGTATGCAACCATTTTCAAATTAATTTTTTGGGTTTCTGTTTAAAAAAAAATTCTCAAAAAGATAATGAATACACCGTGCAATAATCCTCTACTGGAAATACTAATTAAAGTGATATATGAGCAACCGTAAGTCTTCTATCTTTGAAGTAAGGCACAGAAAATTTTGTGAAAGAAAATCGGGGAAGCCCTCTTATAGTTTTCAAAGTTATTGCATACTTTAAGGCTACACGGTTACTTCAACTCTTACATATTGTTTTAGTTTTATGTCCCTCAAAGAGTGCACCACAAATTTTACGAAAAATTTCTTATCACTCACCATTGCCTACTTTTAGGCTGCAACAATTATCCACTACTAAATCATATTCGAAAAGTATGCAACATATTTTATGTGAAAACTTACCAATCCCTCTGATTTACGTCCATTTGACATTAATGTAACGCCATTACTCGTATTCAGTGAACCATTCATCATCAAACAGCCGCCACTGCCACCATTGGCCGCCAAGGCTCGGGCAAATTGCTCATCATTTTCCAGTTCAATTTGTATGCCAGAATCACCGCTGTTACATTTATCACGGCGATTATATTTCGTCTTGCGTCGCTCCTTCGACGAACGCCATACCAAAGGACCAAATCTGTATTTATTACTCGTCGAATCGGTGACATCCGTTGACATTTCAGTATCGGGCATTAGAAATGTGCCACTGGCAGATGTTGTTGTTGTCATTGTTGCTGTTGTTGTATTGCAACAATTGTTGTCACCGCCACTTGGGTTTTGGGAGGAGGAGGAAGATGACGCTGCCGCTGAAGTTCCGCCGTGTGTTGCCGCTTGATTGGACGACTGCTGCTGCTGCTGCTGATGTTGATGCTTATTGAAGTTGGTTAATGTACGTTTGAATTTCTGTAAAACTCCAACATTCTGGGTGGCCACCACCGGCGCGGATGTTGCAACATTATTTGTCGTATTCGCCCGACAACAATCTTCTTGACTAGCTGTTTGGGTGGTGGCATTATTCGTATACGATGAACTGCTCGATGGTACTCTTTGGCAATGATCTCCCATATCGGTGAGAGATGGACTGGAAACGGCACGCATTTGTTGAGACTGCAAGACGAAGAAGACGAAGAAAATAGAAAATGAAAATCTTAGTTTGGTGATTGAATTGCATTGCATTGCAAGTTGGAAAATAAATTATGATAGCCAGTGCTATTTTCGTACTTTGCCTTGGTAGATAAAAAAAAAAATAATTGGATTTTTTAGTATTACTTTTTGGCCATTGATAAATGGGTTTCAGTTTTTTCCAGTTTGTTGGTTTAGGTTTTGCAATTTGCCTGTGCTTGCTGACAGAAAATTGATTCATTATTGTGGGTTTTTTTCATTTAGAGATATAATTTTTTTTAATTTGCAACGGAAATGTTGAAAGGAAATCAATCATGTTGCTAAGAAAAGAAATTACTTGAATATTTAAATAAAAATAAATATTAGTGCAAATTTTTAGAGCTAAATACATATTGTGCGTATAGGAGGCAAATAAAATGTATAAAATATAAATCAATTTTGCCAAGAATTTATAAATATTACTTGAATATATAAGTATATATATTCAAGTATATCCTAATAGTATGCAACAATATTTCATTTTATGTACACGTTTGTATTTAGTACTATTTTAATCAAGAAATATGCAGTAATACTTTATCTATGATTGCTGCAATTGTTCTGAAAATATCTAAGTAATATTGTTAAAATCGCCAAAAAGTATGCATCAACTCTTGTTTTTGGTATTTGTTAATAATAGCGGGCACTACTCAAAGAGTGGAGCAACGTGAGAAATTGCTCCACTCTGTGAGGAGTCCTAGAATTATTAATAAACTAAATATTGTTTAGAAGCAATCTGAAGTATACTAACAAAAGCGCCTAAAAGTAGTTCCCAATGTTTGCTTTGGAATTTTTAATGGTTTATTTCAACAGGAATTAAGAATTAATAACATGAGAGGTTAATACTAGAAATGTTTCTAACAAAGTTTTTTAAAATTTAATTGATTCGTGAAATAAAAATCCATAAAATATGCATCTTCTTACAATTTTATGGGTAAATAAAAAAATCATTGGCAGGAAGAGAGACTGTAGTGTAGTGTAGAGATGATATGAAGTTTTAAAACGATTTTTATTCAGATTTTTTTTAAGAAAAATCAATTCAAAGCATTTTGCCTAAATATATGCAACATTATTTAATAATTTATAGTTAACATGAAATCTATGAATTTAATGTTAAGAAATACAGGATGAGATTAAAAAACTGCAACCAAATTCAGACTGCTGTCATTTCTAAGCCACTCGTCCAACAGCTGTTAAAATTATTCCAGTGACAGCTCATTATATTGTTTACAAGCGTACAAAAGCATTTTGGTGAGAATTTTCCAGAAAAAAGTTATTCGTGATGGAATTCAAGCGTGATAGTGTGATTAAGTTATATTTGGCTAGAGAACCACAAGTGGCTACCGTTAGAGCACTCCAGCATTTAAATGTGAATAAATTCTTTGCGTCTCGTTACCGTGATACTGGTAGCGTAGCCCGACGTTAAGGAAGTGGACGCAAGAAAACAGCAACATCAGCAGAAATGATTCGAAAAGTAAAGAAGCGACTTGATCGAAACCCGCGACGCAGTGGCCGAAAAATTGCTCGTGCGCTGAACATATCGCAATATTCCATTCGGCAAATATTGAAAAATGAGATCGGGGTAAAGGGATTGAATTTCCTAAAAGTTCAAGAACTTACACCGCAACAGAAAGAAAATAAACTCAAAAGTGCTAAAGAGTTGCTTCGCTTGGCCGAAAGTGGTGTTCTGCCGAATTTGGTTTTCTCCGATGAGAAAACATTCGCTGTCCAGCAGTTTGTATACAAACAAAATGATCGTGTTTACTTTCCAAAGAGGTCAGCTGAAAATGTCCACCTTCCGTTGGCCACCAGAACTCAAGCGCAGGCCATGGTGATGGTGTGGGCCGCCATAACAACCGATGGTCGCTCTCCATTCGTATTAATCGAGCGTGGAATCAGAATAAATGCCGAATGTTATCGCGAAAATAATTTGGAGGGTTTGTTAAAGCCTTGGGCAAGCAAACATTTTGGCCGAAGACCTTGGACATTCCAACAGGACTCAGCACCATCGCACTCAGCACGCGCCAACCAAGAATGGTTACAAAATGAGGTTCTTCATTTCCTTCACTTCCAGCGCACAATGGCCACCAAAATCTCCGGATACCATACCGTTGAACTATTGTGTCTGGAGAATTTTGAAATGCAAGGTTGGCACTAAAAAATACCAAAGTGGCGATCACCTTAAGCGCTTCGACGGAAATCGGTCAAAATACCGCAGAGCAACATTCGGGCAACGTGTGAGGTTTCATTGTCCGTTTGAAGGCCATCGTTCGTGCCAAAGGTGATCAATTCGAACAATTCTAAACTTATTCTAAAATTTGATGAAATTTTCGACATTTTTTGCTTTCATTCAATGAAATTAAAAAAAAGATGTAAAAATTAAAGCGTTTGACTTTGTTGCATTTTTTAGTCCACCTTGTATATATTATTTAAAAATTAATTATTAGAAAAAATTAGTCATATTTTCAGGTTCCTAAAAATATGCTTTGAAAAAAATTCTTAGTATGTGTGCTAAAATAAGTAAGCACTTTACAATTTCTGTTGAAACCCAAATTTAAGTATATTTCACGAAAAAGATAATCTTTAACATCCTACAAATATGCACCACTTATTAAAACATTTATTATATAATAAATAATTAGAACAGACTAGAGAAGAATTATTTTTTATTTTGAACTTATTTTGAAATTTCCTAAAAATATACTTTTCAAATGAAATTTTCAAATGTTGACTTATTTTGAAATTTTCTAAAAGTATGTTTTTTAAATGAAAATTTCTTAGCTATATTGTGCGACAAAATATATTAGAACTTTATTCTATCTATTGAAAATTAATAAAAAATATGTTATGAAAAGTAACTCCCCAATATCCAAATTTATTGACCTAAAAATACACAACACTTATTAAAATATTGTTTTATTTATATTTATCAATTGTAAATTGTTTGAGACAAAAATCAAAATGTCCTAATAATTTTATTCACATGTATAACGATCGAGGCAAACAAATCTCTAGACCCCTAAAAGAATGCAATACAAAGTGAAACAATTGCGATAGCCTCTGTTTTAATGGTTTAACCATCTAAATTATTTTCTTCCCATTTCATAATGCCATAAATTATAGTTTATAATTTAAAAATTATCAATGTCAATTAAATCTCCCCTGTAAAAAATAATTTCAGCTTTAATCAGAAATAAATCTAGACCAATTAAGAGCGATTAAATATTTTTAATATTAAAAACATTTTTTATTTTCACAACAAATAATTAAAATGGGTTATCGGGTTATTTTAAAAAAGTGACGAATTATTCCTCTTTTGTGGTTGAATGTGTTACTTTTGATTTTGATATGAATCATAAATCTGAAAATAACCGCCAGACAACTACCTTAGTAAACGTGCCTTATGGCAACTTCTTGAAAATGTATTTGCACCCATAGTATCATACAGTTAAAGAAGCGAACTCTCAATACTAATTACCTCATATATATTTAATCTTATCTAAAGAATACACAAGAATCTTGTGATAAATAGCCAAAGGAATGCCAAACCAAAGGGGACAAGCAACAACAAAAAATGCCGCCGAGATAATTTTCAACAAATGAAAACCCCCAAACAAAAAAAATTCTTTCAAATCATAAATAAACAAAAAAAAATTACTGCTAATATTACAACATTTCTTACATCATCATCATGGGAGAGGGAAAGAGAAAAGACGAAAGTAATTTTCAAAAATTGAGAAAATTACCCAACTTATTTGAAAAAAAAAAAAAAAATTACCAACCATGTTCTGTTTTGTAGCCATTGGATCGCGATGTCGCCGATCATAGCAATCATTGGCAATAAACCAATTGATGGATTTCTTCCAATAGGTATCCGATGAAACGGGTCTGGTATCGAAATCCCAAAATCTAACCAGACCATAGGTATCCATGAGCACAGGTATTATTGTTTTCTTCATTGTTGTTTTTTGTTTTTTTATTATTTTTTGTATTTTATTTTAATAACTGTCGTTCGTTTAACATATCAATTAAATATTCGTTTGATATTTTCCAACACTTCCTTGATTTGCTTGTCAGATTCACATAATATTTACTTTCAAACCACACAAAAATCACATTTAGTTTAGAAAATTAAACATTATTTAAATGTTAGAAAATCGTTTGGTTTCGTTTCGTTTTCAATACAACAGGTGTTGTCACCGTAAGCAACGATAGCTATTAACTGATTTTACCTGAGAATATGAAATATGCCGATAACCAAACGACAAGAACCTCAAACGACGAGACTCTTTTACATGCTTGCATTTCTAGACATATGTTGAGAATTCAATAATAATAAAAAAAAAAAACACAAACAATAATAACAAAAAACAAACAAACACATTGAGACAAAGTTGGCTACATCACCCTGCCTTCTTTCTGTCCGCCCATATGGCAGAGGCAGCACCCCGGTTCAATAAAAACAAAAAGAACAGCACAGCAAAAAAATTGTGTGATTAACTCATATCACTTTCAATTGAGAATATTTTTTCTTTGCACAATATATGGTGCGGGTTCAAACAACAGCAACAACAAAACTATTGGTTATTGTCTAAGGCAAGATACTACAACAGGTATGACGTATTTTTTTTTTAAATAAATCATATACCAAAAAACGAGGAAGGTATGGGAAGATGGTTGAAAGGGAGATGCAATTTTTAAATAAATAGTCTTAAATTTTGCATAATTTAGGAAGAGGGCACCAAATTTTTAAGTTTTTACAAAACTTCTTGGGGAATTGAAGATTTTTTTTTAATTTTTTGGATTTTTTTTTTGTGACATGGAAGATTATTGTGGTCGAATTATGGCACACTTCCAGTTATGATTTAAAAAGTAGTGCATATTTTCAGGCTTGTAACAATTATTTTCTAAGAGAAAAACGGTGTGAATTTAGGAAATGCTGGGTT